TTCTATGAGATTCTAATTAACATTTTAAATAGTCAATGAGTGACACAATCATTTTAGGTAGGGTTGCTGGAGGTGTGGCCACAAAGTGAACTACAAATAAAAAAGATATTATAACCCCTAAAGGAAGGAGGCAAATGTCCAAGTCCTGAAACAAAAAAAACCTTAAATTTGAACTATAAGTTTGTTCCGCCATTGTTTAAGAGTTTCTCCCCATGTGTCCCCATACATATTAAAGGAACACTATAGTCACCTAAATTACTTTAGCTAAATAAAGCAGTTTTAGTGTATAGATCATTCCCCTGCAATTTCACTGCTCAATTCACTGTCATTTAGGGGTTAAATCACTTTGTTTCTGTTTATGCAGCCCTAGCCACACCTCCCCTGGCTATGATTGATAGAGCCTGCATGAAAAAAAAAAATGGTTTCACTTTCAAACAGATGTAATTTACCTTAAATAATTGTATCTCAATCTCTAAATAGAACTTTAATCACATACAGGAGGCTCTTGCAGGGTCTAGCAAGCTATTAACATAGCAGGGGATAAGAAAATCTTAATTAAACAGAACTTGCAATAAAGAAAGCCTAAATAGGGCTCTCTTTACAGGAAGTGTTTATGGAAGGCTGTACAAGTCACATGCAGGGAGGTGTGACTAGGGTTCATAAACAAAGGGATTTAACTCCTAAATGACAGAGGATTGAGCAGTGAGGCTGCAGGGGCATGTTCTATACACCCAAACTGCTTCATTAAGCTAAAGATGTTCAGGTGACTATAGTGTCCCTTTAAATATTGTTTTATAAAGGACAGGCAGGGCCTTTTCTTTAAATATCCTATTTGTATACCTAACACATGATTACGTGCTAATAAAAATATTAAAAATTGAAAAACAAAACACATTTTTTTCACATTTTTGCATATAATAGTTTTTACACATCCAGAGCAACTGATTTAAAAGTGCTCTAAATAGATTAATATACCAGTCCTGATTGTTAAATGTCTTCTATGTCTAGAATCTAAATTAAGTTTTGGTAGTTAACGCTACCCTACATCAACCCCCACACTATACCAACCATACACCTTACCCAATGCTTACACTAACTAACCATATGTCTACCCTATTATTTAAACCTTTCTCTGACATTACTTTCTTGCCCTGTCATGGTCTTTATAACCTGAGAGTGTGTTTCTATATTCTTGGTATTTCTGGTAACTGACTTGGCTTTGTTTAATTGTTTATTCTGTATTATGGTATCCCCGAACCTTGTCTTTGTAATACTCTTATATCTATCTCCATCCCAAGCCTAGGCCTGTATCTGACTATTCTCTGTCACATACTTTAAGCATGTCAACCTCTAATGCTAACATGGGCCAAAATAAACAAGGTTTAAGTTCACGTGGGCCGCAAAAAAAAAAACACTTCAGTTTTCATAGAAACATAGGTTTATTTTGGAAAAGTACAGTATAAAAAAAGTGCCTCCAAATACAAAAAGAAAAGTCCTGCGCTCACTCCCATCACTCCTGTGTGGCAGCAATGACCACAGTACACATCAGCCCCAATATATAGTAAAAACCAAAGGAAAGACATTAGCTGCGCTCTCTCCTTAATCCCTATGTATATTTAAACAAATGGATGTCATTTAGTTACTCCAATAGCCATTGGAGGGAATATAAAAAATACCCCTTTCAGTTTCTGTCTCATTAGAGATATCTTTGCCAGAAGCTCAAGGAAGCATGGTGAATGGTTAGAGTTAGGACCCACCTGGGGAGGTCTGCCTTGATGTTGGCAGGTGGGCTTATCCTCTCATGGCCATTGGAGTAACTAAATGACCTCCATTTGTTTAAATATACATAGGGATTAAGGGATTTTTTCTTTTTTTTTTTCTTTGGTTTTTACTATAAAAAAGTGCCTAACTGGCACTAGATGTCCTCACACTTTTATTTTCCCATAGGAAAGCCTTTGGAGACTATTGTGCATGTGTGGCAAAAAGCTGTGCGGCCAGTCAGCATCTCCAGGGGGAGCGTTCAGCGCCTCCATGCAGACCCAATCTAATACACTGCCCACAAATCCAGTACACTGCACCATCCACCTAATCTAATTCACTGCCCCTCCTCCCTCCACTTTAATCGAATACACTGCCCCTTAATCTAATGCACTGCCCCTCCTCCCTCCACTTTAATCGAATACACTGCCCCTTAATCTAATGCACTGCCCCTCCTCCCTCCACTTTAATCGAATACACTGCCCTTCCTCCCTCCACTTTAATCGAATACACTTCCCCTTAATCTAATGCACTGCCCCTCCTCCCTCCACATTAATCGAATACACTGCCCCTTAATCTAATGCACTGCCCCTCCTCCCTCCACTTTAATCAAATACACTGCCCCTTAATCTAATGCACTGCCCCTCCTCCCTCCACTTTAATCGAATACACTGCCCCTTAATCTAATGCACTGCTCCCCTCCCTCCACTTTAATCGAATACACTGCCCCTTAATCTAATGCACTGCCCCTCCTCCCTCCACTTTAATCGAATACACTGCTCCCCTCCCTCCACTTTAATCGAATACACTGCCCCTTAATCTAATGCACTGCCCCCCTCCCTCCACTTTAATCGAATACACTTCCCCCTCCCCTCATTCTAATATACTGCCCACAAATCCAATATACTGCCCCCCCTCCCTCAACTCAAATACACTGCACCCTCCTCCCAATATAATACACTGCCACCACTCTAATTTAATACACTGCCCCCACCAATTTAACACACTGCCCCCCCCATTACTCAAATACACTGCCCCCCTATTACCACTCTAATACACTGCCTCCTTCCCTCCCAATTTAACACACTGCCACACTAACTCCCCAATTTAACACACTGCCACTAACTCCCCCAATTTAACACACAGGCCCCCTCCATCCTCCAATTTAACACCCTGCCCGCTCCCTCCCTCATATTAATACACTGCCCTCCCCCCAATTTAACACACTGCACAAGCTCCCGCCACTCTAATACACTCTAATCCCCCCCCACTCTTCCCCTCCCCTTAAGATGAGCCTCCCGTCCTCCAGTTCCAGCTCTGCTCTTCTCTGTTCAAGCAGACCAGATGCTCCTCTGGCACTGCGAGCAGGAGGGAAGAGGAAGTGGCTGGCCTGTTTTGCAGACAGACAGCCACTCTGCCCTCTTGTGGTCGTGGGAGAGAAGACAAGACTCACACTCTTCTTGTCTTGTGGTTGGTCGCAGCCACAGCACAAAGAGGCCCCAGGGCAGACGGGCCGCAAATATATTCACTGTGAGCTGCATGCTGCCTGCAGGCCGCAAGTTTGACATGCTAGCTATACCTCATATTTATATACATTAAATCTGACCCCCCTAAGGCCCAGTAATATGTGTTTACGGTGTGTAGGGATATACTTGCCTTACTATTTGCGCATTATAGAGTCTGAACTTGACCGCAGCTAGAAAAACTGGCTGGGAGCAATCACTCGACTGCGTTTTTATGAATGGATTTAAATGGTTCCAAGCAGGGCTGAATACCAGTGCTACTTAGAGCTCGTCGGTCAGTCTGGGGCCAATAAAAATGACCCAACTAAGAGGAGCCCCAGGTATCTATTTTCTGGGTTTACTGGTGTGAGCAGGGATTTAACCCTGCTCAAACCTAATCTGCAGGGCATTCATTTACATATTACAAGCATTTAGAAACATAGAAACATAGAATGTGACAGCAGATAAGAACCATTCAGCCCATCTAGTCTGCCCAATTTTTAAAATACTTTCATTAGTCCCTAGCCTTATCTTATAGTTAGGATAGCCTTATGCCTATCCCATGCATGCTTAAACTCCTTTACTGTGTTAACCTCTACCACTTCAGCTGGAAGGCTATTGCATGCATCCACTACCCTCTCAGTAAAGTAATACTTCCTGATATTATTTTTAAACCTTTGCCCCTCTAATTTAAGACTATGTCCTCTTTTTGTGGTAGTTTTTCTTCTTTTAAATATAGTCTCCTCCTTTACTGTGTTGATTCCCTTTATGTATTTAAATGTTTCTATCATATCCCCCCTGTCTCGTCTTTCCTCCAAGCTATACATGTTAAGATCCTTTAACCTTTCCTTGTAAGTTTTATACTGCAATCCATGAACCAGTTTAGTAGCCCTTCTCTGAACTCTCTCTAAACTATCAATATCCTTCTGTAGATATGTTCTTCAGAACTGCGTACAATACTCCAAGTGAGGTCTCACCAGTGTTCTGTACAATGGCATGAACACTTCCCTCTTTAAGCCCACTCTATGTAGGACAGATTAATCAACAGCGCCCACATAAAATACACTTATAAATCAGCAAAAAAACATGGCGATTCAGCCATATTGTGTTAAGCCCACCACTACTTCACAGTACCACTATATCGGTGGGTCCTACACTAATTCCAACATGGAAGACAAATTAAATAATGCTAAATAACCAAACAATGAAATAATATTTTTTATTAATCTGTTGTAAGAGCGCTGAGTATATATGATGCAAAATTAATGTGATAAACGCAATTCAAAAAAATGTTTTGTCAAAACTTAACAATATCAGTGATAGAGCTTTGATGTACAGAGGCGGACTGAGAGCCTTTGGGGCCCCCGGGCAAAATTAGATCCCAGGCCCTTTGAAGGCCAAATATATGTGCATTAAATAAATGTTAAATATAACTCATAAATGGGCATTCCTTTCGATGTGTATATTGTGAAGACCTGTGTATCAATGCATGTTTGTATCTGAGTCTGTGTGAATGCACTTGTGCATGTCTGGATGACTACATGTGCTTTTTTGTATATAGTGTCTGTTTGAATGCATATGTGACAGGTGACAGAGTGTTTGAGGGAGAGGGTGACAGGTGGAAGAGTGTGGGAGGTTGTGACAGGTGGCAGAGGGATAGAGAGGGGGTGACTAGTGACAGAGTTAGGGAATGGATGACTAGTGGCAGAGTGAGGGAGGAAAGAGATGACTAGTGGCAAAGTGAGGGAGGGAAGAGGTGACTAGTGACAGAGTGAGGGGATGACTGGTGACAGAGTGAGGGGATGACTGGTGACAGAGTGAGGGAGTGACTAGTGACAGAGTGAGGGAGTGACTAGTGACAGAGGGAGGGAGTGACTAGTGACAGAGGGAGGTAGTGACTAGTGACAGAGGGAGGTAGTCACTAGTGACCCCTTCCCTCCCTCACTCTGTCACTAGTCACCCCTTCCCTCCCTCACTCTGTCACTAGTCACCCCCTCCCTCTCTCTGTCACTAGTCACACCCTCCCTCTGTCACTAGTCACCCCCTCCCTCACTCTGTCACTAGAGGGGATGACTGGTGACAGAGTGAGGTAGGTGGTGACTAGTGACAGAGAGAGGGAGGTGGTGACTGTCACTCTGTCCCTAGTCACCCCTCCCTCTGTCACTAGTCACCCCCTTCCTCACTCTGTCACTAGTCACCCCTTCCCTCCCTAACTCTGTCACTAGTCACCACTTCCCTCCCTCACTCTGTCACTAGTCACCCCCTCCCTCACTCTGTCACTAGAGTGAGGGGGTGACTAGTGACAGAGTGAGGGGGTGACAGAGTGAGGGAAGGGGATGACTGGTGACAGCGTGAGGGAGGGGATGACTGGTGACAGAGTGAGGGAGGGGGTGACTAGTGACAGAAGAAGGGAGGGAGTAGTGACAGAAGGAGGGAGGGAGTAGTGACAGAGGGAGGTGGTGACTAGTGACAGAGTGAGGGAGGTGGTGACTAGTAACAGTCACCACCTCCCTCACTCTGTCACTAGTCACCCCTTCCTTCCCTCACTCTGCCACTAGTCATCCCTTCCCTCACTCTGTCACTAGTCACCCCCTCAATCTAGTGACAGAATGAGGAAGTGACAGAGAGAGGGAAGGGGGTGACTAGTGACAGAGTGAGAGAGGGGGTGACTAGTGATAGAGTGAGGGAGGGGGTGACTGTCACTAGTCACCCCATCCCTCTCTCTGTCACTAGTCACTCCCTCCTAACTCTGTCACTGTGTCACCTGCTCCCTCACTCTGTCACTAGTCACCCCCTCCCTCACTCTGTCACTAATCACCCCTTCTGTCTTTAGTGACAGAGTGAGAGAGGGAGTGACTAGTGACAGAGTGAGAGAGGGGGTGACTAGTGACAGAGTGAGGGATGGGGTGACTAGTGACAGTCACCCCCTCTCTCACTCTGTCACTAGTCACCCCCTCTCTCACTCTGTCATTAGTCACCCCCTCTCTCACTCTGTCACCAGTCATCCCTTCCTTCCCTCACTCTGCCACTAGTCATCCCTTCCCTCACTCTGTCACCAGTCACCCCTTCCTTCCTTCACAGTGACAGAGTTAGGGAGGGAGTGACTAGTGACAGAGAGAGGGATGGGGTGACTAGTGACAGAGAGAGTGATGGGGTGACTAGTGACAGAGAGAGGGATGGGTTGACTAGTGACAGAGTGAGGGAGTGGGTGACACAGTGACAGAGTGAGGGAGCGGGTGATACGGTGACAGAGTTAGGGAGGGAGTGACTAGTGACAGAGAGAGGGATGGGGTGACTAGTGACAGTCACCCCCCCTTACTCTGTCACCAGTCATCCCCTCACTCTGTCACTAGTCACCCCTTCCCTCCCTCACTTTGCCACTAGTCATCTCTTCCCTCCCTCACTCTGCCACTAGTCACCCATTCCCTCCCTCTGTCACTAGTCACCCCTATCTCCCTCCCTCTGTCACTAGTCACCCACTCCCTCACTCTGTCACCAGTCACCCCCACTCACTGTGTCTCCCCCTCACTCTGCCACCACTCAACCCCTCCCTCACTCTGCCACCAGGTACCCCTTCACTCTGCCACCTGTCACAACCTCCCACACTCTTCCACCTGTCACCTTCTCCCTCACACACTCTGTCACCTGTCACATATGCATTCACACAGACACTATATACAAAAAAGCACATGTAGTTATCCAGACATGCACAAGTGCATTCACACAGACTCAAATACAAACATGCATTGATACACAGGTCTTCACAATATACACATCCAAAGGAATGCCGTATTATGAGTTATATTTAACATTTATTTAATGCACATATATTTGGCCTTCAAAGGGCCTGGGATCTAATTTTGCCCGGGGGCCCCAAAGGCTCTCAGTCCACCCCTGTATATATATATATATATATATATATATATATATATATATATATATATATATATATATATATATATATATATATATATATATATATATATATTACATTAGTATACACATAGAATTTAAATACCTATAAATGCATATGTATTAAAATTCTACATGTATATTTAAGTAATCTTTTAACATAATTATGTGATTTGATTAATTAAAATTTGATTGACATGTCTGACAACAGGGAGAAAGTGCAGAGAATTTAATTCGCAAGCACTATATTTGACCCTGTAACTCTCCAAGACACCATAAAACCTGTACATAGGGGGTACTGTTTTACTCGGGAGACTTTGCTGAACTCAAATATT